AGCCATTAGGCCACGCGGCCGGTTTCTTGTATGATGATGGCTTCACTTTGACGCCCCATAGACGTACGGGGTACGAAAACTGGTCGGCGCCGGGTATGGTTTTTGATATCTCAAGTTGAGACTGTTCAACTCATGCAATGTCCCCTTTTTTTTTTTTGAATTGCCAAAGTCGGTACCGTATGCCTATCATACAACCTTCAAGAAAAGTAACAACTTACTTTGCTTCATCTTTAACTGCAGCCTCAAAATCGTCCAAAAACTTCCAAAGCGTCTTCTCCCTCCATCCCTTTGCCATCCAATCGTTAGCTGTCTTGGGAAATACGTCTATAACGCCCATGGCAAACCTGTCATGCGCAGGGATAAAGAAAACGTTATCCTGTGCATCCGCCTTCTGTGCTTCCTTAATCGTCTTGATAGCCAACTCTATGTCTTCTCCGATATTCGGATCAAAGAATGTCTCGCCTGCTTTGCGGCCCCGCTTGACGTTGATGTCGTCAAATACACTGCCTGGGCAGCGTGAAAGGAGAGAGCGTAGGGACTCGGAAAGGGTAAGGTGCTGGGAAAAGTTGGAGGGCATGGGGAGGTAAGGAGATGGTCGGATTTCACCGCCGTGGTGGCAGAGATCGCCACCCATGAGGATGAATGTAGGAGGAGAGGTTGTTGTACGGGCGAGACCGGCGAGGTGACCTGCTGCATGGCCGGGAGTATCGAGGAGATAGAACGACCCATCGCCGAAGAAGTCGAATGCTTTGAATGGGCCAACCTTGAGAGGTTTCTCGTCAAAGTTGATTTCTCGAAAGTTTCGTCCCCTAGAAACTGTTAGTGATTGGCTAATGACCATTGTGAGATGATGCTCACCTATAATCGACCTCCCGAATGGGAGAGTTGGGATTCTCTGGGTATCCAGGGCAGTAGGCTTCCTTGAATCCTTGTCCGACGACGAGCTCTGTGGATCCAGGAAAGGTCGAGACGTCGCCAATGTGATCAAAATGCTGGTGACTGATGCGACAATTAGCCACTGAGAATTCTTATCAACTTGGAAAAGACTGACCTCCAAATCACACTGTCAATCTGAGAAGGCTGCACATTGTTCTCCTCCAGAATATCTGCCACATTCTTGGGAACATCAACACCAAGTTTGGCATCAGTAATGGTCTTGCACCACATTGGCGAAAAGTTCTCCAACGGGTTCTTGGGCACTCCCAAGTCAAAAAGCGCTCTCTTGCCAGAAGAGCTTTCAACCAAGAACGACCATGTGGTCACCGTGGGCATATAGTCCATACCCTTCATGGCAGGCTTCATGAGATGCGAAGCAGCCAGCTTTGACAGACGCAGAGAAGAGTCAATGATGCTGACTCTAGCAGCAGCCCCGTCGGGCACGTCGAAGCGAGGTTTTTCAGCCATGTTGATCTGTTGGATAGGAAAACTGTAGGATTGCGATTTTGAGGGTGGATTCGACTTCTCATGCAGTGGAAATGGAAGTTTTATAAACGTTTCGGAATACCGAGCGTCCGAATTGAGAGGTTGAATAACGTTAGGCTACCGACTGGTCCATAGACGGAGGCCGATTGGATCGCTGGAAGGCTTCGAAATGGCGAAGTGGAGGCCCTGAAGCGTCATACTTACAGCTGACCGGAAACTCCGTCCCCCGTTACGTTATTTCCTGGCGGCCTTTGTCATGCAATTCGTAAGAATTCGTTTGTCAATGAATCCGATTCTTGTCACACACGCTGTCTCCAGACTTCTGGGGGCGACAAAGCTTTCATAATGTTGAATTCGGGACAGTTCGTTATTTGGAAGCGCTATCGTTTGTGTTGACAGACACCGACATGACGTTGTCGGTGCACGCTGACGCCTGGTATCATCAGTGGACCCTTTCACTCTAAACCGATAAGAATGACGTAGGTTGAAAAGGTCCACAGCCTCCCATGTAAACAATTTGTCAAGCTATACCATAGCTTCTGCCTAGTGACTACAGCTAATGGAGACAATAATATTATGTTCAAGTACAAGATTAGGTTGAAAGATTTCCGTCTTGGATATTCAGAATGGGTGTTTCGTGTCAGCTCTGATGCGGCGTTTAACTTGGTTACTTCATCTAGAGAATATCGAGTATCATTAGGTCCAGGTTATCAAACTTGGTACTCAGGTAAATTTCAATACAAGTCAGTACTTCTTCATTACTACCATACTTCAAGCTCCACCAGGTAGCTTGATACTGAAGTCTGACTCTTCAGCTCCCTCCACTCAAGCCTAGACCTCCCTCAGCATCAGAGGCTTTGGTCCCTAAAAGCATAAGCGACGAGATTATTTAGTCACTTTATGCGAGCTTAG